CTCCAGTCCAGTCCAGTCCAGTCCAGTCCAGTTCAGTTCAGTCCAGTCCAGTCCAGTCCAGTCCAGTCTAGTCTAGTCTAGTCTAGTCTAGTCTAGTCTAGTCTAGTCTAGTCTAGTCTAGTCCAGTCCAGTCCAGTCCAGTCCAGTCTAGTCTAGTCTAGTCTAGTCTAGTCCACTCCAGTCCAGTCCAGTCCAGTCCAGTCCAGTCCAGTCCAGTTCAGTTCAGTCCAGTCCAGTCCACTCCAGTCCAGTCCAGTCCAGTCCAGTCCAGTCCAGTCCAGTCCAGTCCAGTCCAGTCCAGTCCAGTCTAGTCTAGTCTAGTCTAGTCTAGTCCAGTCCAGTCCAGTCCAGTCCAGTCCAGTCCAGTCTAGTCTAGTCTAGTCTAGTCTAGTCCAGTCCAGTTCAGTCCAGTCCAGTCCAGTCCAGTCTAGTCTAGTCTAGTCTAGTCTAGTCTAGTCTAGTCCAGTCCAGTTCAGTTCAGTCCAGTCCAGTCTAGTCTAGTCTAGTCTAGTCTAGTCTAGTCTAGTCTAGTCTAGTCTAGTCCAGTCCAGTTCAGTCCAGTCCAGTCCAGTTCAAACAGCTAGATATTGTAGGAAAGGATCAGCTGCATCTGCAGCTTTTCATTTCAAACTTTGGTAGGATATTCAGATGAAGGAAGTGATCTGCTTCTGGTTTCATCATCATATCAATTGTTCAATGCTAAGCTAACCAGAACTGCTAAGCTTCCAGTCACTAAATGATCCAATTATTGAACATTAACAAGCCGCTGCAGTTTGTTTGTAAACATGGCATTAATGAAGTTAAATTAGTTAATCAACCTTTACTAAATATCAAGCCTGAAAACCTGATATCATAACGCACCGAATGTTGGTTTGAACGTAATCTGCCACGGCAACAGACGTGCTTAAATGGCAAAGAGAGACGAAGAGTTAAAAGATCAAGAGGTTTAGAGTTGATCACCTGTTCAGGTTGTTTTACCTTTGCTGTGGTAACCCTAATGCACCGCAATAACACCATGAAAATAAATAGAAAGAAATGATTTTGCTCCTCTCTGGCGTCTCGCTCTGGCGTCTCGCTCTGGCGTCTCGCTCTGGCGTCTCGCTTTGGGGTCTCGCTTTGGCGTCTCGCTTTGGGGTCTTGCTCGAGCTCAGAATCTGAGGCTTTTCCTCTTTCAAACATGCTGCTCATTTTGCCTCTTTAGTGGAAATATTGACTTTCTCCAAAATGATAACTTTCATCAACCTTTCTAGCTCCACTGTTGAAAATGAGGAGCTGCCATTCACCAATGACATTGAAATAAAATCCAGTCCAACATGGTCTCAGGTGATTCTTTGGATCCTGTTGGAGGAAAACAGAAGAAGAGCTGAAGCCAGCAGAGCTCTGTGGTTCAGGTTGAGCATCAGGCTGGTGAAGAGGCTGCAGGACCTTCCTGCTGTTTGGACACGGGACCAATACGAGCACTTTAAAAGCTCAAATCAACGGTTCCATGCTAGACATGGAAAACTAGGATGCACTTCATGCCATGATGTTGAGAATTTATGTCTCATGGCATCTGGAGGTGAAACTATTACCAGCTAGTGGGCTGAAGGAAACACGGCTCCATTGTGCAGCAGGAGCTGCTGCAGCAAGAGCAGCTGCAGCAGGAGCAGCTACAGCTTGAGCTTCGCAAAAACATTAATCAGCACAGAGACTCCAAGGCACATGAAGAAATATATCTATGTATTGTTTAGTACCAGCAAGAATGTAGAACGGCCGTCAGCCCTGCTGGTCAAAGCAGGCCTTGTTGGGCCTGCCCATCCCAAAGTACTGCTCCACTCACCCAACACGGACCAACCAGAACCAGAACCGGCCTGACACCACAGCCCAGTTTCAAAAACATTTTTTTATTGGAAAATGTTTGGGTTAATAAGCATCTGAATTAGTGATTTGACTTTCAGCAGATATAAGGCCGGCGGTATAAAAGAAATAAAACCTTAACATGTTGTGAAATATGAGGAACTGAAGAGCAGAAATGAAACATCAGCAGCAGGAGGAGCTGAGACATCAAACATCAGCTCTAGAAACATTTACAGATCTAGGAAAACCTGATATTTACTTCCAATCATACAAATTGGAGACAGAATCCTGCTTGTGGCGTCACAGCGTAAAGCTTCGCGATATCTCGCGAGTTTTTAATGCAAACTTTCAGCTGAACTCCTCCAGCCAATCAGACGGAGGCTGCGCAGCGGCTTGACCAATGAGAGTCGGCTCTCGACGGCGCGCCGCCTCTGCGCCGCAGCGTCTCATTGACGTTAGCTGGAGACGTGCCGCCCCTGCGCCGCGGCAGCGTCGGCTCCGCCACTATGCGGCCGCTCCTCGGCTGAGATGTGACAGAGGTGCGGCAGGAACCACCGACTTCGAACAGAACCCGTAACCGAACCACCAGGACAGAACCGGTCCGGCTCAAATCGTAAGTGGGTACTGGGCGCGGAAGCGGCGCGGCGGGTTGGCGGCAAGGAGCGCGGTAGGCAATGTGCGGGAGGAGCCGCGGTGCGGCGGGCCGCCGGGGTTCGGAACCGAGAACGAGCCGGAACCTGCGCGAGGCTCGGTTCCCCGCAGCTCCATCTGACCAGAAGCTGCTCGAAGCTCGGTCTGGTACCGGCGGAGGTTCTGGCACCGCGCGGCGCGCTGACGCTGCTGCGGAAAACCCGCCACAGGCCCAAATGCTCCTCTTCCTCCTCCTCCTCTTCCTCTCTGCTCCCATGCCTTTCTTCATCATGTCCATCCAGCCTCCTCTCTTCCTCACAGATGAACCTGCCGGTGTCCAGGTGAGGCTGGGAAACAGGAAGTGACGTCACACATCAGGTGAAGTTGTGGCGGCTTCACTCCATCCATCGGCCCGACCCGGAAGAACCAACCAATCACAGATGGAGTACCGGGAGAGAATCCGGAAACATGAAGAATAGAAACAGAATAAAGTGAAATAGAACAGCCTCTTCTGTCCCGCCTCAGTTCTGATGTTTGGATCTTGAGCCGGTTCTGGTCCGGATGGACCTGCTTCTGCTGGACTCACCTGAACTACAGAGATGCAGGTCAGGGTCAGGTCAGGTCATTGTCCTGTCCTAGCCTGCATCCAGTCAGACGTGACGTTAGGACATCTCTGTCCTCTCCTCATTGGCTGCTGGAGTGTCACATGATTAACCCTGAACCGTCATCCTCCTCTCTGATTGGCTGCACCATCAGCTTCCTGGCTGAATATCGACCAATCAGATGCTTTCAGTCGCACCAGCGCAATCTTTTTTTTCCAGTAACCTTTGACCTTCCCCTACTGTCTGTCTTAATTAAAAGGAGGAAGAAATTTTTTTTCTTCAAATTTCTTATTTGTAGTTTTTATACAATTTTAAAACATATTTGTTATGATTTATGATCTTATTTTTTTATTATTATTTTTGGTTAATAAAGCAGGTTGTGGGAGAGGCATAAGACATGGGCCAAAGGTCAACGGGCAGAGACTCAATTATGGGATTCAACCCATTTTTACAAAATGTCTTTTTTTTGTGTAGTTATTTTTTTTTATGTAATTTTCTTATCTAGTTATTTTTTTATATTTTGTTACATTTAGTTTTAGATTATTAAACTGATATCTGATGTCACATTGAATGTTTTTTTTGTAACATTTATTTGAAGGTTGTGTTTATTTTTATTTTTAGTTATATATTTTTTATTTGCTACATGAAACCGGTAGTGAGGTCAGACATGTTTTATTTCTACATTTTGATGTCATTTTTTAATTGCTGAATGCGGAAGCGTCGCCATGGTATTTTCCACCTCTGTATATTTGTAACTTTACTGCTCTTATTTTGAAGGGCCGTCTTCCGGTCGTCTCGACCATTTAATCCTTCCTCTCGGAGCTCCGTGTCCCGGCGGCGGCTTCCTGTTATTGTCACGGCCCGCTCCGGTGGATTTCACTGATTAACGGCTGGATCTTGGTGAGTAACCGAATCCCGACCCGGTTCTGGTACTTCTGCGATGAGCCCCGGGTTTTTATTCTGACAGTTCCCGCCGGGAAGGAGAGCAGCTGGTCCTGCTTCCTGACAGCCGCCCGGCCCGGAACTTCTCTGAGAAAAACGCCGGTTTTACTCCTGCGAGCCGGGCGGCCGACAGCAGCGTTTTTAGCTGCGGGTCCGGATGTTTCCAGAACCATGGCGGTGTAGGGTTCGGTTCGGCTTCCGTAGGGCAGCCATAAAATGTTGCAGCGAGAGTCAAATTAAGCTTTACTGAGAGAAGTCGGGCGGCTAGCGCCCTCTGTCGGCCATCCGGGGAGCAACAGGAAGTCAGGAACCTCTGGAGGAGTTTAATCAAGTGATCTGAGACCAGAACTATTTATCTAGAGCTGATCTTAGATGAGATCCGTTCATCTAGAATTAATCTGGAACCTGTCCTTCATACTGAGGAAGAAAACTCGGTTTAATCGAATCATCCAAACAGATTCCAGGTCAGCACCAGGAATCTGTTAGGAATCATTATCCTAACTGATTAAACTGGAGACCCAGCAGGTCCTTACAGCATTCACTCCTCCTGGCCAGCAGGGGGCGTCAACCCCTTTCACAGAATCATTAACTTTACAGCAGTTTCTCATACACAGCATGAATGTAGCAGCAGAGGAGAGGAAAAATTCCCCTTTAACAGGAAGAAACCTCTAGCAGAACCAGAATCGGGCTCAGTACCATGGGACTTATCTGCCTGGAGGTTAGAGAACACACAGCAGAAGAAGAAACACATGAACTGATGTTGGATCATTTCTGATGTTCATGAAAGTAGAAACAGCAGGAGAGGGAGAGCGATCAGCATCATGTCAGCCGCCTCCAGGAAGGAATCAGCCAATCAGAACCCAGAGCTGCCATGGACAGAAATAACAGGAAATAAAAAGTTACAATGACAGCAAACGGTGCAAACTGGAGAGTAGTAGAAGAAGAAGGAGAGGGGAGAGGCCAGGTCGTCCTGCAGCAGCCGGTAGCATCATGACTACAGGAGGAGCTCAGGATGACCCCGGCCAGCAGAACACACTGAGGTTCTGTTGGGTCGCTGAGCTCTGATTGGAGCCGGCTGTGGCTCTGTTGGTTCTCTGTACTGGATGGAACCAGAACCGGGCCTTCAGCTCTGCTGGTTCTGGCCGCTTGTCACCAGGATGGGACGGTCCTCTCCCTGATCTGACCCCGTGACCCCTGCTCTTTCTCCTCAGGTCGGCTCCTCTTCCTCGCCGCCTGCGGGATGGAGGACTCGGAGACGGAGCTGACGGTGTCGGAGTCGGACGCCCTGGGCGCAGACTTCATCACGGTGGAGCTGGACACGCAGCCCATCGAGTACGTGGTGAAGTGGGCCGAGGTCGGCTCCAAGTTCACCATCTCCTGCGTGAAGAAGGACTCGGACGAGGCGGAGGAGCTGGCGGCGGAGCCGCTGAAGATCGAGGCGGACGAGGCCTTCTTCGCGCCCTACGAGGAGGTGTTCCCCTGCGAGGTGACGGAGCAGAGCGTGGAGATCAAGACGGACTCGGACGAGAGGACGAGGACAGCGAGGAGACGCGGCTGCTGCTGGAGGCCGGTGGCGGCGGCGCGCCCGACGGCGAGGCGGACCCGGACCGGGACTACTACGAGCCGGAGGGCCGGCAGTACCGCTGCAGCTACTGCGGGAAGCGCTACAGCCACGCTTCCAGCCTGTACCGGCACCAGCAGACCCACACGGGCCGGACCGGCCCGCCGCCGGCCACCAAGAGAACCTTAGAGCCGTCGCACCCCGACGCCCGCTACGCCTGCCCGCACTGCGGCATGAGCTTCAAGGGCAGCAGGTGAGCCGGGCCGAAGTTCTGCTGGGGGGTTCGGAACCTGGGCGACACCGTTAGCTCTGACCAGGTTCTGGCCTGGTTCTGACCCGATTCTTTAGCTCTGACCCGGTTCTGACCCAGAGTTTTAGTTGTGACCTGTTTCTTTAGTACTGACCCGGTTCTGACCCGCTCTGTCTCCAGGATGCTGGGCAGCCACCTGCGGCTGCATGGGAAGCGGCGCATCCATCCCTGCAACATCTGTGGGAAGGAGTTCAACCACAGCTCCAGCCTGTCGCGCCATCGCCTCGTCCACAAGAAGGGCAAGGGCGGGGCCAGAGAGGCGGAGCCCGCCGCCCTGCGCCACAAGGCCGCCACCAGGAACAAGAAGCCCCGTAAGGCGGGCGGCGCGGCACCGGGCCCGGCGGCGGCGGACCGGTTCTACGCCTGCCCGCAGTGCGACCTGAGCTTCCGGACGTCCACCCAGCTGTCCAAGCACCAGGTGAGCCACGTGAAGGAGCTGCTGGACAGCTACACGCCCGGCAAGGAGAACCTGGGCGAGAGCTCGTCCGACCTCAAGATCCGCCTCAAGCTCTGCTCCCGCGACAAGCCCAACTTCTACACTCTGTGCAAGAAGAACCGTCGCCGCCGCGGGGGGCGGCCGCCCCGCGACGACGACCCGGAGGCCGGCGCCGGGGAGCCGGGCGGCCGCCGCCACGCCTGCGACCTCTGCGGGAAGAGCTTCAGCCACGCCTCCAGGCTGGCGCGGCACCGGCAGACTCATGGCGCCGGCCCGGGGAAGCACGTCCTGGCCAAGCCGGGCCTGGCCGCCTCCAAGTCCAAGACCTACGTGTGCGCGGCGTGCAACAAGACCTTCATGCACTCCTCCAGCTTCTCCCGCCACAAGAAGGCGCACCTGCAGGCCGCCGCCCTGAGCCGCAGCCCGCCCCTGGTGGACGAGACCGCCCCGCTGGAGTCCGACTCCGAGTGAGGGTCGCTCCGACCCGGACCCGTTCTGGGTTGGTTCTGGACCGGCGCCGACTGGTTCTGGACCGGTTCTTGGGCCAGTTGTGGTCAGAGTGAAAAATGTTCTGGACCCGTTGGGATTCTAGTTCTCCAGGTTTCAGGAACTGGAACTGGTTCTGTGTAGATAGCAGCAGGACGGCCATATATGGGCGCGTCGGCCGTTTCCATGTATGGTCAGAAGGGACCGTTAGCTTCCTGCTCCGCTCAACGGGCTTACAGGCATCCACCTGTTCTGGGCCCACCCCGCCCCCTCCTCAAACAGTCCCAGAGCATCATGGGAAATGGAGTCAAAGCCAGCAGACTCTTCAGTAAACTGACTGCTGATTGGACGGTTCAAATGAAACCTGTGAAATTGGTTATTGGTCAGCGATCGGCTCCAGCGGAAAATCTGTCACCAACATAAAAACGTTTCCTGTGGATGCCCCGCCCCCTTCAATCTGTGTTCCTGCTCGACACTTTTGAGTTTTATTGTGTGAATTGGAGTTAATTTAATGGTGATTTATTTATAAATGTGAGGGCGCCCCCCCACCTCCTGTAGAAGATAAGCAGCACTTGATGCCCCGCCCCCTGATGCCGCCCCTGATGCCCCGCCCCGTCGTGTTGGTTTGTTTGGGTTTGGTTCTGCAGATAGAAAGAACAACGTTCCTCATTGTACTAGAATAAACCTGTTCACCTGTTCTGTCGCCATTTTCTAATAAATATTAAAAATCTTCCTGTCTGCTTCCACTTCCTTTGCATCAAGTAGGCTCTTAATTTGAAGGGTCACGTTCTGCGCCAGGGGTTCTGATGGATCATAACCAGAACCAGTAAACCAATAAAACCTTTCAAAATGATAAAACATTTCGGTGGTCATGGAAACCAGTCGGACTCCTGAATCTATGGGGGGTATGAATACTTGTGGTCTCCAGGTGAGCCTGCTCCTCCTCTGGGCGCCACCTGCCGTTCCCCTCCGGTCCGGCAGGTGGCGGTAGTCCTGCCCGCTAACTTCCGGACTACAGATCCCAGAGTGCACCGCGGCCGGCTGTAAACACGTCTATGAAGGACGAGCAGCAGGATGATCGGTGAGTTCTGGTCCGGCTCCCGGTTCGGTTCGGGTTGAAGGTCGATCAGTTCTTTCAGCTTAAAGACCAGAACCGCGGTAGACTGGGTTCGGACCAGAACCTGTCCAATAGCGCCGGTTCTAAACCAGTCACTGGTTCTGGTTCCGATCGAAGTTGGTAAATTTGAGAAAGTTCTGGAGGTGAGTCCAGGTCCAGTTCTACCATCCTGCATCCCTCAGTGAAGGGACCGGTTCCGGAAGGGGCCGGTACCGGGCCACCAGGTACGGCAAGTTCTGGTGGACTGGACCTGGCCAGCCCAGTTCTGGTGGTTCTGATGCACAGAAACAGCCTCCTAACGTCAGTGACGTGTTGGACCCGAAACTGGACCTCTTGGTTCTGGAACTGCTGGACCCGGACAGAACCGGACCCAAAAAATAGGATCAAAGTGAAATAAAATGAAAATGAAGATTCAGCGAATTATTTAAAATGTTATTTCTGTGAAGGTTGATGAGTTTACTGATCAATAAACATTATAGATTATTAACCAATAATTAAACATTCTTAATGCTTTATGGTGGTTCATATTATCAACAGGAAAATCGTAAGGTCTTTCCTGTTATGGTTCTTAAAGCAGAACTCACCTGGCCAGGTGTCACAGGGGGCGGGGCTACCAGAGAACCAAATTGGTCCTGGTTCTGGTCCTGCCTGAGACCGACTGGAACCCATCACACCAAATCCATAAAATCTGCTTGAGTGTGAAGTTAGACCTCACCTGTGTTGCAGTTAGACCCTCACCTGTGTTGCAGTTAGACCCTCACCTGTGTTGCAGTTAGACCCTCACCTGTGTTGCAGTTAGACCCTCACCTGTGTTGCAGTTAGACCCTCACCTGTGTTGCAGTGTTTGTGCGGTTCAACCACGGCCCCGGCGTTGCCGTGGAGATGAGTGCAGCGGCCCGCGTGGCGGACCTCAAGGAGATTGTGGCGAGTCAGCAGGGAGTTCCTGCCCAGGCGCTCCGGGTTCTCGCCGGCAAGGAGCTGCAGAGCTCCGCCTCCCTGCAGGTGAGCTCCCACGCCGATGTGCAGGTAGCGCTCACCTGGTGACCTCCTCACCTGGTGACCTCCTCACCTGGTGACCTCCTCACCTGGTGACCTCCTCACCTGGTGACCTCCTGTCAGGGCTGTGACCTCCCAGAGCAGAGCACGGTCCACGTGGTGCTCCCTCCTCCAGGCTCCATCCACCTGCCGTCAACGCAGCAACACCTGGTTGCCAGAGGAACAAGGCTGACCGACTGGACCTGAGCTCCTCCAGGTTGGCCGCCGCCGCCGCCGCCGTGCAGATCACTGTCCTGGAGGGAGGAAGAGAAGATGAAGATCAGAGTTCAGAGCAACAGGCTGCAGCTCCTAAAGGTCAGTAGCTGCTAAAGGTTAACACACACCTGTCTTCACGTGTGTGTTCTCTGTTTCCAGGTGTGTGTTCTCGTTTCCAGGTGTGTGTTCTCTGTTTCCAGGTGTGTGTTCTCTGTTTCCAGGTGTGTGTTCTCTGTTTCCAGGTGTGTGTTCTCTGTTTCCAGGTGTGTGTAGTACCTTCTTCGTGTACTGTAAGCGCTGCTCATCCGTCCAGTCAGGGAAACTCCGTGTTCGCTGTCGGCGATGCAGACAGATGACGCTGACGCTCTGCAGGGTGAGAACGGAACTGCTGTACTTCCTGTGTTGGCTGTACTTCCTGTGTTGGCTGTACTTCCTGTGTTGGCTGTACTTCCTGTGTTGGCTGTACTTCCTGTGTTGGCTGTGTAGTATTTCCAGTCCTGGTGCAGTTCCTGCTGGGGGCCAGCAGGGGTTGCTGTTACACTGTGTCTGTCTCTCAGGGTCCATCATGCTGGGATGACATTCTCCTGCCTGGACGGATTCCTGGAGTCTGTCAGTTTGAAGGTTGCCATGGCAATGAGGCGGTAAGGGGCGGGGTCTGAGAGTCTCAGACAGGAAGTTCTTGATCTCTTAATTCTGATTGGTCCTTGATGGCAGGAGTTCTACATGAAATGTGGTCTCACCCCACGTCAGAGGACGACGTCTCCGTGGCACTGGACCTCATCCTGTCCAACACCAGGAGCGTCCCCTGCATCGGCTGCACTGACATCAGGTAACGTCCTCACCTGTCTCGCCCTCTGTCGCTCTCCGTCCCCCCTCCTCACGTCGTCTCTGTCTCCAGGGTCGTGGTTCTGGTCTTTCAGTGTTCGGACCGTCATGTGATCTGCCTGGACTGCTTCCAGCGCTACTGCCAGACACGCCTTAAACGAGCGGCAATTTATTCATGATGCTGTGATTGGATACTCGCTGCCATGTGCAGGTGAGGGGCGGAGCCTCATGGGGCCGGGTCCAACAGGGGATGTGCCTGACTTCCTGTTGTCTCTCTACAGCTGGATGTGAAAACTCTCTCATCAGAGAGATACATCACTTCAGGATCCTGGGAGACGATCAGGTGACTCCACCATAGAAGGTGTGTCAGGGTCACCCCAGGAAGTACTTCCTGTGTTCTAGGGTCACCCCAGGAAGTACTTCCTGTGTTCTAGGGTCACCCCAGGAAGTACTTCCTGTGTTCTAGGGTCACCCCAGGAAGTACTTCCTGTGTTCTAGGGTCACCCAGGAAGTTCCTGTGTTGTAGGGTCACCCCAGGAAGTACTTCCTGTGTTCTAGGGTCACCCCAGGAAGTACTTCCTGTTCTAGGGTCACCCCAGGAAGTACTTCCTGTGTTCTAGGGTCACCCAGGAAGTACTTCCTGTGTTGTAGGGTCACTCCAGGAAGTACTTCCTGTGTTCTAGGGTCACCCAGGAAGTACTTCCTGTGTTCTAGGGTCACCCCAGGAAGTACTTCCTGTGTTCTAGGGTCACCCCAGGAAGTACTTCCTGTGTCTAGGGTCACCCAGGAAGTACTTCCTGTGTTGTAGGGTCACTCCAGTCTTGGTGACTCATTGAGGTTCAGCTAAATAAATACAGAGATGAAATAAAGTAACGGAGGAAGCAGAACCTGGGTCAAAGGCGAAGACGCTGGGAGCAGTGGGAGGTTGATGAGGGGCAGGTGTGGCCAGTCAGAGAGAGGCGGGGCAGCTGGATCAGAGGAAGATGAGGAAGATGAGGGAAGGAGCATCAGGGATAACCCTAACACCAGAACAGGAAGTGATGCAGAGAGACTGTCTACCTCCTCCAGGAATGGAACCAGTTCAAACCAGTGTTTCAAAAACCCAAAGGACATTATCAGAGCTTCAGGTGCCTGTAGTTTACCTGAAACAGGTGAGGACAGGAAGTGATGACCAGCAGAGATTAGGTCTATGATCAGCTGCATCTCTTCCTGGTTAGGGTCAGGTTGTAGCAGGTTATTAGTGCGGGTTGTGCTGACCCCTGTGGTTCTCCCTCAGTACTGCCGCTACCTGCAGTACGGCGAGGAGTGTCTGCTGGCTGCCGGCGGCGTGCTGTGCCCCTCACCTGGATGTGGGGCGGGGCTTCTCCCACCTGAGGGCAGCAGGAGGGTGGTGACCGGCGGCTGGGCTGCGGCTTTGTCTTCTGCAAAGACTGCAGAGAGGGCTTCCATGAGGGGCCGTGCGAGGGCCCTGTGGCCCCGCCCACAGTGGACGGCTGCCAGGTGAGTCACATGATGATGATGATGATGATGATGATGGAGGTGATGAAGGTGCTGAGGCGGTCCTCTCCTTAGGGCTTCGTGGTGGAACACGAGGCGTCTCAGAGAGGCAGGTGGGAACAGGCGTCTCTGCAGCTCATCCAGGAGTCGACCCGGCGCTGCCCGCGCTGCCTGGTACCTGTGGAGAGGAACGGTAAGCTCCGCCCCACAACCGTCCCATTTGTCCACCAGGTGAGCACTGACGGCTGCCCGTGTCTCCCCTGCAGGCGGCTGCATGCACATGCAGTGCACCCAATGCCGAGCAGAGTGGTGCTGGCTCTGCGGCGCCCCCTGGAACAGGGAGTGCATGGGGAACCACTGGTTTGGATAGATGCTACGGCCAGGCTCCGCCCACCGCCGGGGGGCGTGGCTCTGTCTGTCGTCGGTTCAGACTGTGGATTTCTCTTTGAGTGTAAATAACAGAATAAACATGAGACTCCCACTGTGTCTGTCCCTGTGTCTGAGACGGGGCCGGTGTCCCCAGGTGGACGTCCAACAGCGTTCCTCTCGGATCGCGGGTTATTTTTCTTTACATCAAAAAAAATGTGATCACATGAACAAAATACTTTATCACATGTGGAAAATGGGAACATCCTGTGAATTATAGGCTTTTTTGTAAGGGAAATGAATATTCATTCATATTTATCTTAGTGTTAGTTGACATATATAATCACATTTACTTATCAATCTGCAGCATTTATAAACTCGTGTTAAAATGCGGAGATCAATATTTGAAATAACAAGCTGTTAATCAGGAAACCTAAAGTTAAAACTCAGGGAGGGTCAGGGTTGATTTAGCAGAGACAGAAACAATGCAGAAAGTCATTTGTCCTTTAGTTGGAATATTATTTACATCA